CCAAGAAGAATAGATGGAACGTTTGCAATGTAGTCACTGCCCAAGAGAAACAAGGCTTCTCTCTGACTCCAGTCACATCCCCACAGGCCCTTAAATGAAGTGGCAGTCTGCTTCTCTGGCACTACAGGAGAATTTATAGAATCATATAGACTCCCAAATTCTTAGAGTGTCATAAAAAGGGGTCTAGAAGAGATATGGTCAGGAGAATGCACTGGGACTGGTCACTACCTCCCCAAATTCAGTTCTGCCTTCTCACTCACTCACTACACATCACTCAGGGATTTTTAACTCATCCAGCCTGAAAACCAACACTCTTCTATTACCACATTGTGATGGTTTGAGAGAAAATGGCCCCGAAAAGGAGTGTACTATTAGAAGCTGTGATCTTGTATAGCAAACATGGTCTTGTTGGAGGAAGTGTGTCACTGTTGGGATGGGTTTTGAGGTCTCCTATGCTCAAGCTACTCTCAGTGTCTCAGTGCACTTCCTGTTGCCTGCATATCGAGATGTAGCCAGCATCATGTCTGCCAGGATGTCATCATCTCTTTGCCATGAAGATAATGGACTGAACCTCTAAAAAATGTAAGCCTCCCCAATTTAATGTTTTTCTTTATAAGAGTTGCCATGGTCATGGCATCTCTTCACTGCAAAAGAAACCCTAACAAAGACACACAGGATGATTGACTATCTTCTCAATTCTTCAGCTGATGCACCCAGACATCTGGGAATATTTCATTTACTCAGTTTTTCCCACATGGCTTGTGGATTGTGAAATATAAACAAAAATTGTAGGTTCCCACTCTGATTACTCTAAAGTTATTATTATTATTATTAATTATTATTTTCACAGACTAAAGTGGTAGGGTTTTTCATTTAGTTAGTCCTAGTGAATAGTTTTTTTCTCTTTATCAGTTTTTATGACTAGTAAAAGTAAAAATAATACATCTACAAATAAAGAAAAGAATGAAAGGGGCTGGAAAGATGGATCAGTGGACCAGAGTTCAGTTCTAAGAACCCAGGATAAACTGCTCACAACCATCTGTAAGTCAAGCTCTGGAGGACTTGAGGCCCTCTTCCAGGTTCCATGGGCACCTGCAGCCACCTGCCATACACAAGTACATGTACATAAATAAACAATAAAATAATTTTTTCTTAAAGAATTAAAACTATTGTTTGTTAACAATTTTGATAAAAACCACCATGATCAAGTGAGGTATGTAATACTCCATTTTATATACACTCAACATAAGTATGCAAGTGTTCAATATATGTATGTGTATATTGTACACCTATTCATGTAAATGCAACTAGGCAGGTTCTTGATTATTTCATTGCTATTTGTCTTAACAGCCAATACTATGACATAAATAAACACTATCAAACTTTAAAAGATCCATCTATGATTGACATTTGGAAAATATTAGGGGACTCTACAATATACACCCTTGAAAAACATACATCTTGTATTATGTAAGATGCTCACAAGAAAGTGTGCCATAAACACTGAGATTCATGGGAACTCCATAATTTTCTTCTAACTATTAAGTTTTGTAAAAAGGTAAAAAGCTAGGCATAGTGGCACTTACCTTTAATCCCAATACTTGGGAGGCAGAGGCATGCAGATCTCTGTGAGTTTAAGGATAGCCTGCTCTAGATGCCAAGAGCTATGTACACACACACACACACACACACACACACACACACACAAAAAAAACTAAGGTTTAAAAGTATTTATGATTCCCCAATCACTGCTAGATGTCTAGACTGTGTAGGTACTAACCCCATCTCAGCACATGCTCAAGGCACATGAGCGTCCTCCATAAATAACTTCCTATGGATAGTTCTGCTCTGAGCCACTTTCTGCTTTTCACACTTGGTTGAAGACAGATGACACAGCCCAAAAGATTCATGTGTTTGGATCTGAAGTCAAGTCACATCAGCCAGTTAAAAGAAGACTTCAATCTTACCTTCAGGACCGTTTTCACCTAATCCATCCGAGGTCAGGATGTCCTTTCAACAGGAGACTGTTATTACCATTAATTCTGAGACCACTTTTTTCTATCATGTTCACTCAGACCATGCATGCCTCCACCTTTGGGAAACTGTGGTGAATTCTGAAGTAGAGGCCGGGGTATAAACTAAAATCCATTTCTATTTACGAACACTCCTTCTAAGCTTTTCTCTCAGGCCACACACACACCTAGCGACCTATTACAGGTAGGAGGCACAGGCACACTTCTGATGAGTGAGGAGAGATAGGATGTGTTTCTAACAGTCTCAAAAGGTGCTTTGTCTTAACATCAAGGTCTTGGCAGCTCAGTGTAGTGGTTCATGTGGAAAAACACAAGTTTTCTGTAAAGGACAAGCCTCTACTAAATTCCATTCTAGACAATTCCTAAATGAACAGATATGTGTGTCGGCACTATGGCATGATTTACAAAACCAGGCAGAGCTAGAACTAAAGCTGGGTGTTCAAACAAAACCTTGTGCATGAGTTTCAGAGCCACATGATTCACAAGAGCCGAGAAAGTGGAAATAATTCGGTTGTCTGTCAATCAATGAAATAAGAAATAAAACACGGAGTGATTTAGGGCTGTAGCTTCTTAGCAAGAGAGCACCTTCCAGCATCGTGAAGACCTAGGTTCAGTTTCCAGTACCACCAAAAGAAAAGTTTTACTTGTATATTGGAGGGAAAGGATTTGCTTTTGGAGGTAGGGTTTCCTCCATTCAAAAAAAAAAAAAGTTTTGCAAATAAAATAAAATATAAGGTATATCCATACTTGGGCTCAAAATAAAGTTCAAAATGTGAAAATCAGAGCTAAATCTCCAGTTCCACAATAAGGACAAAGAAGGACTTCTGCAGTTACAGTCTTGTTGTGCCAAAGAACTACACATGGAGCAACATCTTGAAATCTTGAAGTGGGTGCCTGCATGTAGATTTGAAGTGGCTTCTTCTCAGCTGGGTGAACCTGCTTTCCTCTTTACCCCCTTTGGGCATTAACTGGGTCACAGACCACGACTGTTATCAATGTTTCACCTTCCAAAAGGAGGGTCCTACAAAGGTTCTGACATGAGCATATGTCTATCATTTCTTCATCTTTCAAATAAACCCTGTTGATTTGAAAATGGGTGGAAACGCTGTGAGCTTTTGTCTGAGACATGAGCCTTCCTATAACTGAACAATGAGAGCATTTAGGCAAGAAAATAAGAGTTAGGCACCTTGGGTTCAGATTCTAATATTGCTATTACTTGGTTAAGTGATCTCATCTCTCTGAATGATACAAGAGGATCTGAGTTTGAGACCAGCCTGGTCTACAGGGCAAGTTCCAGGACAGGCTCCAAAGCTGCACAGAGAAATCTTGTCTCAAAAAAAAAATGAATTGATGTGGGAAGTCTTTCTGTATATGTGTTTCTTTTATTAGTTAATGAATAAAGCTTTTTCGACCAGTGGCTTAGCAGAGTAAAGCCAGGCAAGAAATTCAAAAAGTGATATAGAGAGTAGGCAGAGTCAAGGAGACACCATGTAGCTGCTGAAGGAGAAAGATGCAGCCAAATCTTACCTGTAAGCCACAGCCTCACGGCGATACACAGATTAATAGAAATGAGTTAATTCAAGATATAAGAGGTAGCTAGAAATATCCCTGAGTCATTGGCCAAAAGGTGTTGTAATTAATATAGTTTCTGTGTGATTATTCGAGTCTGGGTGCCTGGAAAACAAAAGAGCAGTCTCTGCCTACAACAAATGATAGGTAGATAGATAGATAGATAGATAGATAGATAGATAGATAGATAGATGATAGGTAGGTAGATAGATAGATAATAGATAGATAGATAGATAGATAGATAGATAGATAGATAGATGATAGATAGATAATAGATAGATAGATAGATAGATAGATGATAGGTAGGTAGATAGATAGATAGATTGATAGATAGATAGATAGATGATAGATAAATAGAAGATAGATAGATAGATAGATAGATAGATAGATAGATGATAGATAATAGATAGATTGATAGATAGATAGATAGATAGATAGATAGATAGATAGATAGATGATAGATAAATAGAAGATAGATAGATAGATAGATAGATAGATAGATAGATAGATAGATAGATAGATAGATAGATGTTTGTGGAAGTCCCAAGTATGGTAGCAGCCCATAAGAAATATTTTTATGTTTCTTGAACTTTTTCTTATGGCTTCAAATAAGAATGAAGAGTCTCATATAATCAACATAGTTGTCAGAACTTTTGTACCATATGAAAAAGAAGAGACAAGAAAGAGGGAAGAGGGAAGAAGGACAAGGGATGGAGGAAAGGAGAGGGCAGGGAGAGATTGAGGGGCAAGAGGAGAAGGAAGAAGAGGGGAGAAAAGGAGAGGAGAGAAAGAAATGAGAAAGAAGGCAATTATCTTACAGTGATTTGCTATTCGCTACTTAGTTTTACTGCATTTCTTAAGTAGAAATATATATAAATGCAAAATATTAACATTCATTTGAAGTTTTAAGATATACATCTAAACTTCATTGTGAATCTCATTGTGGCTTCAATGAATACTTTAGGAATGTTTTCATTGAGGAGAATTTTTTTAATTGTTGCTTTTGTACAGGCAGTTTCTAGAAAAACTGTTTTCAAACATAATTTTTTAAAAAATCTGTTGTAAATCTTATTTCTGCTATTAAATTAGGCATATAGTTTACAGTAAGTGGCTTATTAAGACACTTTTACAGACTCAACATTAAATATTATCATTTCAGTAAGCTAAAATCTGCATATCAATGCTGAATGAATTGTCACATGTTATGTAAGTTGCAGATTTATAGCCCACTGTACCATGTAGTGGGTTTGTAATTAGCCGAAGAGTCAAAGGATTTGATGAAAACCGGGGCTATTTCTGTGAACAGATCAGTGACAGTTCCAAATGTTTTTCCTAAGGACAAAGTGTGCTTCTCTGTGATGGGACAAGAGCCACTCTAAAAGGAGAAGTCGATCTCACTTGGATGCGTTTGATTGGAAAACACTCTCCAGCGGTCAATTCCTTCTCCAGCTGGTAGAGCGCTAGCAGGCCGTGATATGTCATCACCGATTCTAGTCAAGGATTAATGGCTCCAAAAAACAAGATGCCTCACTAAGTCTTCCTGTAAGGTTATACCCAAGTGTGGCTCGTCCCACCGTTCCAATCCCCTTTGCACACTAAGGGGCAGAGGGTGGCTTTTCACGAGTCACAGAGCAACAAGGCACATGGGTAATCAGTACATGTTCTAAACCACCTCCCTAGGTTCAGGCCAAGTCATAGCATTCATGAGAAACTGCCAAAACAGAAGCTTGCCTGCTCAGGGGCAGGCAGGGGAGGGAGAGATGGGATTTCTTTAGAACCGTCTCTCACCACGAGGGAAGGCTACAGTGTCCCTGGAGAAATGGTGCCTGATTCTACCAATTTGGCTCAAATGACCTTGAAAGACGGAGGGATTTCTGTTACTCCCTCTACTCCATATATAAAAGCTCCAACAATAAGGTTTCAAAATAGTGCCTGTGGCTTTCACAAAGCGGAGCTGAGGAGGCCAGAACCAGAACGCTTGCCTTTCTTTGCAGCCTAACAGGGTATCAGCTCACCTGCGATTCATCTTTAAGGTACGGTGCGTGGAGCTTCTGTTGTTGGGTGGGACCAGCCCACTGCAGCCAGTTGAGATGTCTTTGGTGAGCTGAGGTTTTATTTTGGGCACCCCCCCATCTCTGGTTTTCTTTTCCCTAAATGTCAGTGATTAGTGAATTTCAAGCTCAAGGGTGTGAAAAAGCCAATCAGTATCAATCTCACAAAGTGAGGCTCTGTGAAGATTAACCAAAATAAGGAATATACCTCATGTTGATTGATGGATAAACAGTACTGAGAAACATTTGTTAGAGGTTCCAGACCACAGAAGCTCCTTGGGGAGCCAATAAATAGGAGGATTAAAAATTAATTTGAGGTTTTTACTTGACTGAGTAACCTAAGACTTGGAAAATTAAGCTGGAGAATTTTTGCTTGTTTCTGTTTTTATAATTGGCCATTCTGTGTTCCTTCATTGCAGAGATAGGAACGCATGTGTCCTCCAAAGTCAACTTGCAACAAATGTTACTTGTCTAAGTGGCTATTTCATGTAAAGCTGCAAGTGAGTTGTGCAACTCTTAAGGGGAAGTTAATCAGTAAATGAAATTTAAGAATCAACAGTTGAAACCTAGCAGGGGGACAGCCACTTACTCACACAAGAGCAGTCTTTTTTGCTATGGGTCGTTGGTACCATTTGCCCGTCCCATATATGCAAGACAGCCAGGTAGTCTCATGTGGAAAGTGAAGAAACTGAAACCTACGATTTTCTATTCCCTAGATCTGGCAATTTCCTTAACTATTCAAGTCAGGGGGAGCCCAGAGAACACACATCTCAATTCATAATGAGGCGATGGAAGTATCTTTCCCAAAATTTAAAAGAAAATGTCTTTCTCTTAAATTATAGATCAATAAGCGCCATAAAATAAAAGGTATTTAAAAACTAACTATAGTCTGAGAGTGTAGCTTGGTTAGTAGACTGCTCGTCGAAGATACACAAGACTCTAGGTCTGATCCCCGACATTGATAAAAAGACAGATGGAAAGGAAGGGAGGGAGAACTACATGCTGTAACAATATGGTAAGCATAGATCATTTTGCTTTTATTACTTAAAGTATTTCATTCAAAAGTAGGAGAAATTGGATTTACATCTGACCATTTAGAGACCTATTTGCGATTAGAATTTTGAATATTTCTTTCTACTTAAATGGGATTTTGTGTCTTTCCTATTAGCAAAAATGTGCAGTGAAGTTGGTTAAAGTCTGTGTTTACTAGTACAAACGATGGTGTTCCTTTTTATGGAGGCAGCATAATTAAACTGTGACACATATTGATTGCCTGTCTAGGAGTCTGCCTGGTGCAGTTCTTTATCTACTTCAGATGTGTTGAGTGACAGCTATGTTGGGCATGCTGGAGTGGCGCATTCAGGTGCATTCTCTTGAATCTGTACTGTCTTTCCACTGATGGGCAAATGGGTGAACAGCCTGGTTTTTCTGCCCTAGGGAGAGGGGCGAGATGGAAGTAATCTATAAAAGAGACTCATCCAAAGCCGGGCGGTGGTGGCGCACGCCTTTAATCCCAGCACTCGGGAGGCAGAGGCAGGCGGGTCTCTGTGAGTTCGAGACCAGCCTGGTCTACAGAGCTAGTTCCAGGACAGGCTCCAAAGCCACAGAGAAACCCTGTCTCGAAAAATCAAAAGAGACTCGTCCACATACGCAGAAAAATTAATGATCATATGAACTACAGGGGCAATGAGAGGTTACATAGTAAACATTTCGTGACTCCAACCTGTAATGATACTTCCAGGAGCTTATGCTTCAGGCTACACCTGGTGGTGTGAACAAAACATATCGGTGTGAACAAAACATATCGCTAGCCCAGATGTTTGTTTACTTGGTGCAGTAGACCCAACCAGGAATTAGTTAAATGTCTATCAATACATGAATGGTTAAATAAGTTATAGTATATCTGCGAACAGTTTACTATGCCTCTGTGGGATTCACATGCAAATAAGTACTAAAGTGAGAAAATCAAAGCCCATGCACACATTGGTCCTGCTTGGAGAGAATACACACATATATGCATCTATACGCTTTCATTAAAATTGAAACACCAATAAGGCATTGGTAACAGTGGTTGACATTAGTCAGTGTTGCTGGCTGCAAGGAGATAGGAGAGAAAGACTTTTTCTCCTTTTTTTTTTCTTTTTCCCTTTTTTGGGGGACAGGGTTTCTCTGTAGCTTTGAAGCCTGTCCTGGAACTAGCTCTTGTAGACCAGGCTGGCCTTGACTTCACAAAGATCCACCTGCCTCTGCCTCGATTAAAGGCATGCACCACCACTGCCTAGCAGGGAAAGGCTTTTATAATTAGCTTTATAGCCTTCAGTAATTATTGAAATATATTATCATATGCATGCAACTTTTTAGTGATCTTAAGGAGATCTTTATGAACTTCATAGCCCTTTCAGAAAATATTCTGAAGATTTTAACAAGAAAGACTGAATAAATCATAGTTTACAATAGCTTTCAAGTGCCTCTTCAGACACAAGGACCAACACAGCAAAAAAGGGAAGAGAGGAGTACCCTAGAGAGTCTCCAGACCAGGAAGGGCCATCAGGTGCTTCTAGGAGTCCATGGGTTTTTTTTCCTTGTATCATTTCCTCCTATGCAGCCCCAGTGGTTATGCTAAGGGCCTTGTCCCCGGGCCAGCTCACATTGGTTCCTCTGCCTTCTGACATTGTCCTCAATCTGTTGCATTCAGCCACTCCTGCTTCCCGTGTGTCCCTTGGGGTTCTGATGGATCCCTCTGTTATTGATTAAAATGATCTATCCAATCTATTCAGAAAGCAGGCCCTGTGATTTGGTGTGGGACAGTGGGGGTGCCAGGATTAATCTCACTAAACAACACCATAAGGCACTGAGATGCCTTCCTTACAGATACTCCATTCTGGTGTCCATGTCTCTCTGTGTGCTGTGTCCTTGTGTACAATGGCCAGTAGAGGACATCAGGTGTCTGGCTCTATACTCATAGTTTTATTCGCTTGAGACAGGATCTCTCACTGAGCCTTAAACTATACATTTCAGGCTGGGCTGGCTTGCAAGTGAACCACCCCACCCTATCCCACCAGGGATCTGATTGTCTTTGTCCCTCATTGCTGGAGTTACAGGCACAAGCAGCTATTCCCATCTCCAGCGTGGGTACAGAGAATTCAGAGGTCCCCGTGTTTGTGCTGCAAGAGTTCTCACCTACTGAGTCATCTCCCTAGGCCCCAATTTTGCTGGGTTTTATTTTTCACCTGCATTCTGGGCACTGAATGTACATTCTAGTGTTTACAGGGCAAGTACTTTACCAACTGAGTGATCTCCTCAGCACCCCCAGATTTTTTTACAAGAAATGTTAAGATCAGAGTGGCTGGAGTCCATTGTCTCAGAGGAGATGTGTAGCCTCTTATCATTATGCCTATGGAAAAAATAATGGCATTGACTAGTGACAGTTAAGGCCATTGGGCGGGAAGTCTGAGGAAGGGAACTAAGAGACGGTGTTTAAAGAGCAACCAAGATTTATTAAAACAGAAGAACAGTTTCCTGAAGTAGAAAGGACGGTGGAAAGGAAAATGCCACTGAGATTCCAGGAGCTTTGCCATCTTCCTAACCCCTGGAGAAAGCAGGAGGATCAAGCAATGCCTTTCCACTGCCATCTGAGTGCAGATGAAGTATATGATTGATGATTTTCACTGGCTCTACCCGGGTAGTTCCAGAGACAGTAAGTCACAGCTGAAAGGAAAACAGAATGGACCCATTTGAGACCTGTTTCCTGCCTTAGACCTATGTTTTCCTAAAATCGCTACCAATTCTTTTTCATTTTTGATACAAGATCTCGAGAACTCTGTGCTGGCTTCAGACATGCTCGGTAGTGAAGGATGACCTTAAACTTCCGGTCCCCAGCCTCTCCTTCACACATGACATTTGTGGTGATTCATATGGTACTAGGAATTGACCACAGGGGTTCACGTATACAAGGCAAGCTATACTAGACAAGCACTCTACCAAAGTAGCTACATTCCCAGTTCACAATTTCATTTCTTGTGGACCCAAGCTGCCAATGCCAGCCACTACTGTGCTGCTCACAATCAGCACAGTAAAGGAAGTAGAGAGTATAAAACATATTTTAAGAGAGAGAGGGACACTAGAAAGAAGACCTGGTCTAAATCAAAGTGCACTTTATGGTATAGAAGTTGTCAAAGCTTTAGTTTTCCAGCAGCACAAGCAGCTGTTTATAACCTGTAAGAGAGTGATGACAGCAATCGTTTTTAGGAGACCAGTCACTTCTTCAGCATGCTCGGCATCATGCAGTGAATGCAATTTTTCCACCTGATCACAGAGAGGGCACAAATCTAGCATCCTAAGTGGCACCAGAAGCTTTGCTAAATGCATCTGTCCAGGCTCTAACACTGGGCCTTGGACAAAGGGGAAGCCTCTTGTCCCTGTCATCTCAGGTTTTCTAATCCTAATAGCCCAGCAACAGAAATAAATAAACCTTAAGAATGAGCTGAGTCAGTATGCAGCAAAGCATCTGATATCGTGCATAAACCAATGTTGATGAGAGTATATGTTAGGGTGGTTCAAGGTGGTTAACATTTCTTATGCTTACCATGGGTGAGCAATAGATTGTGAGAATCCTGCAAACATCAATATCATGTCTGAAGAATGATACAGCAGTCCATGCATGAAGTACCATGAGCTGGATCACAACAATTAGTCTCCGTCTCGTGGGTAATGAAACTGGGACTCAGTACGAAAAGCTCATGGTAGTGACCAGCCTAATGTCCTCATTCTTGGTTTCTTCATATAGCTGACTGACAAAACACAACCACAGAGTTGGTAAGTGAGTCCTGGGATGGAAGCTGTAGGGAGAACTGTGCCCACTTGCCCCCTTATAAGACATGGTGAAGACCTCCATTGCCAGCAACTGCTGAAATGACAAGCAGTGGGCTCTGTTTGGTGAAGTCAGATAGCATTTGTTCAGGTGTGGTATAAGAAAGCTGTTCCAGGACAGCCAGAACTGTTACACACAGAAGCCCTGTCTCAAAAAACCAAAAAAAAAAAAAAAGGAAGGAGGAGGAGGAGGGAGAGACAGAGACAGAGACAGAGACAGAGACAGAGACAGACAGAGACAGAGACAGAAAGAAAGAAAAGTTTTTCTTTCTCTTCTAACCGGCAAGGGAAAGAAAGCCACAGGGAAGAAGGTGGTCCCTGCCCTCACTGTCGCGAAGAAACAGGAGGCTAAAAAGGTAGCGAATCCTTTGTTTGAGAAAAGGCCTAAGAACTTTGGCATTGGGCAGGACATCCAGCCCAAAAGAGATCTCACACACTTCGTCAAATGGCCGGCTACATTAGGCTGCATCGGCAAAGGGCGGCCATCTTCTATAAGCGGCTCAAAGTTCCTCCTGCCATTAACCAGTTCCCCCAGGCCCTGGACCCGCAAACAGCTACCCAGTTGCTTAAACATGCCCAAAAGTACAGGCCAGAGGCTAAGCAGGAGAAGAAGCAAAGGCTGCTGGCCCATGATGAGAAGAAAGCTGCCTGCAAAGGGGATGCCCCAGCTAAGAGACCACCCACCTATCCTTTGAGCAGGAGTCAGTCAGTACAGTCACCACCTTGGTGGAGAACAAGAAGGCTCAGCTGGTGGTGATTGCCCACGAGGTAGACCGCATTGAGCTGGTGGTCTTTCTGCCTGCTCTGTATCAGAAGATGGGGGTCCCCTACTGCATCATCAAGGGAAAGACCAGGCAATGAACTGCTTCTCACATGTGCACCCCAAGCAAGTGAAATGCCATGGATTCTCCTGTAGGTACAGGAGGGTTCCGCAGGGAACTCAGGTGCATGGAGATGCAGGCATTCCGTCTCCTGGTCCTATGAATAAAAATGTAAAATCTAACCTATTTTTGTTAACAGTTCCTCTTCCAATAAACAATGACTAGAAATATGTTAGAGATCTCCACGCTGAATCCATTTTCCAGGAAAAAAACTAAGTGGGAGATGTGTGTGCCCCTGGAGACAGGAGATTGTGCCATCATCAGGCCGTAAGACAGCCCAGGTCCACAGAAGCTCAGAGCACTGTCCCTGCTCGGAGAGATCTCAGAAAGTCACCAGAGTTGAACAATTCTCTTACCCAGAAAGGGTAAAAATGGTCCTCTCTCCGACCTTCTTTCATTGTCTAGGTCCTGGGATAGTTTAAAGGGCAATTTTCATTTCTCAGAAAGTTCTTTTTATAAAAAAAAAAAAAAAACAGTCATTTGAAAAGAGTCATTAAATTAATTTGAGAACAAATGAATATCTGTTAAATTCCTCAAGTCACCAAAAATAACAAGACCGAGTTCTTCTCTTAAGGAAACTAGGCCCCACTAAGTCACAAACATCCAAGCACTGAGGTACCTGTCAGTCAGGGGAGAGCTCTGAGATCCTTGGCAGAGAGAGAATGTGAAGTCACTTTGCCTTCTTTAAAGGGACAGGAGTGTGGAGGGAACTCGAAAGCTGTGTGGACAAAATCAACTAATGCCTCTGAGCATCTGCTTCCTCATGCACAAAATGAGAAATTAATTAGCTCAAGTTATCCATCCATAATGTACGAAGAGAGTCTTCTTAGGTTTAAATTTGGCTCTGTTTTAGTCACTAGGGAGGCTAATTCTATTGCTCAGCCTCCTCATCTGAAAAATGAGTGTAAAACCACCCATCTCACAGAGCAGCACCAACGGACAACAGTACAGTGGGTAGAACACTTCAAGTGAGGAACTGGGAGAAACTCATCAGGCAATGTGCTTGTTGTGCAAGTGTGAGAAGCTAGATTTGAAACACCAACACCCATGTAAAAGCCAGGTTAGCTCTGTCCCCGCATTGGGAGGATGCAAAGACGGACAGGTTCCAGGAACATATTGGCCAAAGAGTTCAGTCAAATAAGTGATCTTTCTAGTGAAAGCCCCTGCCTCAAGATATCTCTGGTTTCCACATGAGTACACATAGGCAAGTGCACCCACATACACACACGCACACCCCACACACATAATTACAACTGATTCAAAGAAATTTGTTTTTAAAAAAAATCAATAAATTTGTAGTAGAAGAAAAATTGACATCTACAGGTGTCTCATTTGGGTAAAATTTATTTTAATTTCTGTGTTTTAGAATAATTTACATTACTATATTTTTCTGTACTTTACAGTATAGCAAAATGGCTAAAAGACAACAAAAAAAAAGCCAACTGCTTAAGAATCAGATTACCTTCATGGGCTACAGATTTTTCTTTGTTCAACTATTTTCAGAATACTTTTTGCATCATCATGATTATCTTCATCTGCAGATCCAAAAACTGAGTCATTCCATGAGCGTGTGATGATGGAAAAGTGTCAATTTAAGCTCCTCAGGCGCATCCCCAGATCAGGGTGTCACTACTTGCTGGGCTATGCTCTATCTTTCATGTTGCAGGGATGAACAGCCAGTACATGCGCAGGGAAGTCTTCTGCTGTGAGACCTGCGATGAGCTCAAAAGCTTCTGGGAAAAGGAAATTAGCAAGCAGACTTGCTACCGAGAACTTGAAGAAGATCGTCAGGAGAGAAGCGCTCTGAGAAAGTATGTGGGTTGCTTTTCTGTCCTGGATTCCTTGGGAATAAACCAAATGTACAGAGGGGCCCAGTTCTTTTTCATCACTCATTAGGATAAGAATGTGGGTGGTGGATTCTATATTACAGAGGAAGGAAGCAAGAACAAGATCTGGAGGAAAAGAAGTATATTAAACTCACAAGTCCTAGAGAGGTGTCACCACAAATTGCTCAGTACATCAAAGAAGGAGCAGGTTTTAATCAGAACATAGCAGCCAGGAAGAAAGTGTAAGCCATACCTTTTGGTGGATTTCCATGGCAAAGCAGGAAAGAGAGGACAGTTAAGGGTTGACTAGTTTGAGCAATCCCCGTGGGCTTCTGACTGGCTAAACACCAATACTGACTCTGGGATGCTTTCCAAAGGAGAACACAGTGGCTGGTGTGGAAGCTGAATATGGAAAAAGTTGAAGCTACAGACTTTGATGGAGATGGTTTGGAGATTGGCTGAACCTTTTACTGGGATGAGAATGTAACTCAGTTCTTTACCTAGAATGTACAAAGTCCTGGGTCAGATCCCAGCACCAAAGAAGGTGTGATGCAAACATCTGCAATCTGTAATTGGGAGGATGCAAAGACAGACAGGTTCCAGGAACAGGGTCTCATGTAGTCTAGGCGGATGACTTTGACCTTCTGAACCTTCTGCTTTAACCTATCTTATAACAGAGGGTGAGGAATTAGTCCTGGGAAGAGCAGTCTTTCTCTAGTCAGGACATTTTTAAAAGAAGTCAGAACATAAAATACAGAAAGTCAGAAACCAAGGTTAATAGAACTACTCATTCAATATTGCCAGTCTTCACAGGGTTTCTTGGGTGCATATATAGTCTGATTCTCACTCAGCTGTCAGCACTGCTAATAGTTTCAGCCCAAAGAGCTGCTTGCAGTGGAGGGCTTCCTTGCTGTTTGGAACAAGTTCAGTAGTATTTCTTGCCTCAAAACATTGGCTATCAGCAGGATTCCCATTCCACAGTGTGGTAAAGGTGCCTGGAGAGCAAAGTGGTCCCTACTGAGAACCAGTAGCTTACAGACATCAACAATACTTTCTTCAACACAGACAGAATCAAATTTCAGGTTGTCCAGATGACTCAGCATGTGAAGGCACTTGCCACATAAGCCTGAAGGCCTGTGTTTGAATCCCATAACCAACATAAAGGTGAAGGAGGGGCCTGACTCCACAAAGATTTCCGCTGACCTTCACATACCTGCCATGACATGACACACACCCACATATACACAACATGCATACACACAGGCACACATACACAATAATAATAATTTGAATTAAAAAGATTCTGTTTCCTATAATTGTTTACTCAAGAGATGGGTGTGTTGATACAAGCCATAATCCTGGAAGTTAGGATGTAGAGGTAGAAGGATTAGAAACTCAAGATCATTCTCAGCTACCTTAAGAGTTCAAGGTCAGCCTGAGCTATATTGTAGCTCAACACCTGCTCTATATGCTACAGTACAATTGGCAAGTCGGGCAAGGGCCTGGAGATTGAAACACACACACACACAGAGAAAAAGAGAGAGAGAGATGGGTGCCAAGATCTCCCCAAGAATGCCGTGAAGGCCCTCTTTATTGTGTTCCAGGGCAGCTTATATAGGGTCTCCTTGACTAATGGCCACACCCTAACTCTCAGCTGCAAGCCCACCAGAAACCACTCCTCGGACATCAGGAACTCCTGAGGGTCTCGTGCTCAGAGCAGCTGCAAGCACAGGAAAACAAGTTGTTTACTCTGGCAGGCAGGGGGTCACAGAAAATTCAGGGTCTGGGGTCCACAGTCCCCAACATTACATAGAGCCTGTCTCAAAAATAAATAAATAAAAATAAGAATAAAGTAAAATCCCTCTTCAGCTCTTCACAATTATAATCCCAGTACACAAGGGCTACATTCACCAGCTCTTTCACAGTCAACTTGTTGATGACTCAAAAAAAAAATTTCTTTTTTACTGTGATTTTGACTGGAATTTCATTGAGTCCAATAGTAATTTGAGAAGGCTAAATTAAATTTGGTGGAAAACTACCTGTTTGTAGTCTTCACTTGTTTTTCTGTTGGGACCAAATGGAGTCCTGGCCTTCAGTTGTTCTTCCCTGCTAAAGCCTTCTGATTGGAGTTACTAAAAGCTGTGCCTTGAGGATCAGAGGATGGGGTTCTCACCTGTTGGCCCACTTGACTGCTGGGTATTTAAGCCTCCATGGTGCTATGAAATAGAGGGCTTTGTACCAGTGATTAGACTTCGATGTGTCTGTCTGTCTCTGTATGTTTGTGTATTTCAACCTCCAGCCCCTTGCCCGAAACGCGAGAACTGTATTGTAGCGCATAGAGTGCAGACGGGGGCGCAGTGAGCTGCACTTTTCTATTTTCTTTCTGTTCTTTGCTCATTCACAACAGTCATGGGCTTCTTTGGACAATATTTATGAATCGGTGGACCAGCAGACATGGAAACAAATGCACTAACCAACTGCATTGTGGTGTCTCCTCCTCAGGCTTCGAGAAGAATGGAAGCAGAGGCTGGAGAAGAGGCTGAGAATGCTGGACAACCCTGATGAGGAGGGAAAGCAGGCTAACCCCGAGAACTGAGTGTTTCTAGCAAGCCATCAAGGGCATCCTTTCCTAGGAGGAAAAAGACTTCTACCGAGTTAGACTGACTTACTAAGCAGAACTTCCCCTATTTGCTCTCCCATTTGAGAAAGGACACACATGTAAACCCCACCCTGTGCTAATGGAAACTGTTATTCAGCTCAACACGCTCCACACAGAGGACAGGGTGGCTGCAGGGGTGGGATGCTTGGATTGTTTAATGCGAAAAACTCTTTGAATTAGCACCCCTCCCCAGGTTTCAGAGACCCATGTAGTATAAGCTGGTACTGCATTCTGCCCTCGTTTTTTTTTTAATTATTTATTTATTGTGTATACAGTGTTTTGCCTGCATGTATAATTGCAGGCCATAAGAGGGCACCAGCTCTCACTATAGATGGTTGTGAGCCACCATGTGGGTGCTGGGAACTGAACTCAGGACCTCTGGAAGATCAGGCAGTGCTCTTAACCTCTGAGCCATCTCCCCAGCCCCCTCTGCCCTCGTTTTTAAATTTAAATGCTTTCTCTGAGCTTGCTTGAGGAAATGACCTTGATGGGATCTGGCTTCCCCGCCTCTCCAAAAATTGATTACAAAATCTTTGTCTCCTTTCTCCCTTTCTTGTGTACACAGATTTGCCACAGCCTGTCTATATGAAAGTGAAAATCTTTTATGTTGCAAAATGAACTGTGAGAAAAGTAGCTTTGGCAGTTTTCAATTTTAAATGATCATTTGGCTGCAGCTGGGAAAATGGATTTGAGAGATAACAGGAGATGGTTTGGAGATGAGTTTCTGTAACTTCTGTGGTCACCACAATAAAGGACATGAGCAAAGAGAATGTGTGGTCTTGCAGATGGGTTAGAAGCCATGAGACATGAAACATCTAAAATTATAGGTGTCCATTTATCTTAACCAACACTTATATAACATGGGCTAAATAAAGAGAATATGAATTCTAAAAGCTGTTGAACTAATTTTATTAACAACCAAAGTTACTAACCAGTGAGGTTATATGGGGTGTACAGTGCCTAGCTTCCTGGGCTTTGGTTTCCTGGTGTAGCAACACTTTACCACTATGCCTTTCCAGGTGGCTGGATAGATTATCAGGTGTATGGTGTAGGAGTTCCTTCTGTTTGTGTGTTGCTCACATTGGTTAATGAAGAAAGAAACTGCCTTGGCCTAGTTGATAGGGCAGAACTTAGGTAGGAGGAGAAAACAGAACTGAATGCTGGGAGGAAGAAGGGCAGAGTCAGAGAGAAGCCATGGATCCTCTGCCAGAGATGGATGCCAGTTAGCCACTGCCACATGGTGATACACAGATTAATAGAGATGGGTTAAACTAATATGTGAGAGTTAGCCAATAAGAAGTTAGAGCTAGGGCTGGAGAGATAGCTCAGAGGTTAAGGGCATTGCCTGCTCTTCCAAAGGTCCTGAGTTCAATTCCCAGCAACCACATGATGGCTCACAACCATCTGTAATGGAGTCTGGTGCCCTCTGCTGGCCTGCAGGAATACACAACAGAATGTTGTATACATAATTAATAAATATTAAGAAAAAAAAAAGTTAGAGCTAATGGCCAAGCAGTGCTTTAATTAATACAGTTTCTGTTATTTCAGGTGTAAGCTAGCAGGGCTGCCGGGACAAACAAGCAGCCCACCCTTCCTGTCGTTGGTGCAAGGCCCCTCTCATTACAACAGGTGTAATGTTTCCTAGCACAGGACTTGGTACAGAGGGGACCCTGGATGTGTCTGAGCTTTCATGTCCTCCATTCTTCTGCATTCTGTCTATCACTAATCCGGGCCTATAGAAAATTCCTGGCTCACCCTAAAGCAGAGATCCCAAGTATGCCTGTGCCTACAGTCTCAGTTGCCTAAAAAAAAAAAAAAAAAAAAAAAAAAAAAAAACCTTTTAAATTCATAGATTTCTTGGGCCCTACTCTCAGAGACTGATTTTGCTGATCTGACATGGGATTCAGGAACTGTGTTTATATCAAAATACATGGGAAACCCTGATGCTCAGCTAGTCTTGGAGCCAGTTCCCTAGAAGGCATAGAAGAGAAGGAGGGAGAGTACTGAAAATTCTGTTGGTCAGACTAAAGAAGAATATGAGTGATGCTCTCTGCAGGTGCAGCCCAGGGAGGACCTGGTCAACTCCCAGAGTGCCTGAGGTCAGCCTTGGAAGATCAGCTGGCAAAGGCAAGAAATAGCCTCTGCCTGTCAAAGCAGGGCTGGAGGAAGGGAAAGGAAGCATAGGCTGGGTTAAGTAGGGGAAGGTCCTTAAAATGCTACCGTAGGCATTTGGTCTTCATCACACACGCCATGGAGACTCATCAAAGGTTTCTAAGCAGGCTGGTAACCTGCTAAGAGTTTGTCTTAGTAACTTAGTGAGGCAACACTGGCAGCAGAGTGGAGAATACACTCTACAAACATGAGGGATTGCCCTTGCTAAAACTGTGGTTATCCAAACAGCTTTATTTGGAAAATACATCGCTTCTGTGATCCTGAACTCTGTCCAAAGCAATTGGAAGTGCAAAAATGAGTGGGATCTCAGTAACAAGATGCAAGGATCACAGTGACCTTACACTGCAACTCCTGGTTAACGACTTCAAACTTGCATATTTTATCACAAAATTAATTAGCTCTTTCTTTTTAATCAGATCTTACATTATACCAATTTAGAGGTGAGATCAACTGGCCTGAACCCCCCCCCCCAAAAAAAGAAAAACTAAGTTAATTTTATGCCTGCATTGTTACTACCAGGGAAGGTACAACAAAAGGTCCTTTTTCATTGGGACAGTTGATAAACATCTCTCTGTATTAGTGACAGCAGAATTAAAAACAGCAAGTGTCCCATTCCAAAAAGTAATTTAGCAACAAGATTGCAGAGTGGTGTACAAACCCCTTGGGGTATTTGGGGAGGGGAAAAAAAGCCTGAAATGCAAAGAGATACAATGGCATTCACAGGCATCCCGGTTGCTGGAGGCATCACTGTCTGTGGGAGACAGGCGGGAGACACTGGTTAGGAAAGATTTACTGTCCTGGACTGACAGAGGAGATGGACAGTACTCAGTCAGCTGGGCAAATCAGAGGATCATTTATAATACAACACTGGGCAGCCTCACCCCCACCCCAAATGCCGTGACAAAGTGCAAACCAGGCACAGGGCCAGGTCTCTGAACAAGACCTTGACATGGACAGGGGTTGGGGGTATGTTAGGAAAGAGCCCAAGTCGGTCCCATTAGCTCTGACTTACACAATCTCTTTTTGAATATATAGACTGTAAAGAAGGAAATGGGATTGTATCACTAACATGACACTCTTACATCAGCTTTGACTGTAACGAATTTCCCTCTAAAATAATAAATTACTTGCATGTTTGTGTCAAAAAAAATCAAGAAAGGAAAAAATATACAAATGACCTACAGGTGGCTAGTGGCAGTAAACATGGCTAACATTATAAAAATTAATATTCATCATTACACTCAAAAAGGCAAGTAATTTTTTAGAATATGATGTTATATCTTTCATGTAAACTGTTCTGTTTTAATATACTGTAGACTTATTAGAACTGAAGGAGCAAGATCTGCTTCTTGTTACTGTTGAGTTCAGTGCATCTAGATGCAGATTATTTACTTGCTATTCCTTTATTTTTATTTATTAATTTATTTTGGCGAGTGTCTCAGTAGCTGATTTAAACTGTTGATCCTCCTGTCTCAGTGCTGGGATTATAAACCACTACAACTGGTCCTCTTTTCTCTCTCATTTCTTGTCTTTCTGGCTTTTCTCTCCATTTCCTTCCCTTTCTGGGTCCAGGCTGGTCTTGAACTTCTGGATTCAAGTGGAATTCAGCCTTCTGAGTTCTGGAATTACAGATTATGCCACTATGTCCCGTTTACAGAGAACTTCAATTCCTGCCAGACAAAGTGAGGTGTCTTCCTTTAAAGATATCTAAGGGAAGGAGAGGTCCTGTACCACAATGAAGCAGACTGAGTTAATATATGATCTGTGCTATATGATGGAGGTAAGGAGTGGGGTCCACATGTGATGTGATGAGGGTCACCCTTTCTTTCAGTAAGGGAGCAGTTCTTGGCTCATGTATGACCAAGAAGACATTAAAGTTGTCCATCTCTCCCCTTATCCCATAGCCTAGCATGAATCAGGGTGGGCTGGGTGTGGTTTTGCTATGTTTACAACCTTCTCTGCTTAGGCCCCAAAGGACCTGGGCACTCTAACAAGGAAAAGCCAGAATCTTGGCTTGGGCTAAAACCAAAAGAAATGAGAGCCCTCCTTCTTGCGGATCTGCTCACAGTAAAGGTGGAGATGCTGTCAGAACACCTGAACTCAGTCAAACCACCACACTTGCTATTCTGTTACTGTCCTCTGCTAAAAACTAGAATTAAACACCCTGAGTTCAACATCAGTTTGCCTCTTCTGAGTACCAGCCACCTACAGGAAGCTAAGCATCTGAAATGTAGCCTAGGGCAGGGCTCTAACTTTCTTCCCATGAGTGTCTCTAAATGTAATGATAGCAGTAAACTCAGATATATTATCTAAATTTTCATGCTTTGCCTCCCTGTGAAGCTTTGTGATAGGGAGGACCATGCCGAAAGATTGAGTTTGGGTGTTAAAACTTGGTTTTAAAATGAATAAAAGAAGAAAAAGGAGTGTAGTTCAGTTAGTAGAGTGCCTGTCCACCATGAAGGAGGCTCTGCATAGGATCCCCAGCTCCACAGAACCAGAAATGGTGGCACCCAGCACTCAGGGCTTGGAGGCAGGAGATCAGACGTTCAAGGTAATCTTTGGCTATAGGGAGAGCTTGAAACTGCCCTGGTCTATATGTGATTCTGTCAATAATAATAATAATAATAATAATAATAATAATAGTGGTAGTAGTAGTAAAACAGAAAAGATTAATAAAAGCTCACTTCAAACAAAGTGTGGCCTAGTCAGGTTTTTCTCCCAAGAATTTTTAGAAGATTAAATTCATAGTATTTTACAGTAAATATTTAGCAGTCAACAGCCAACAGTTAACGTGTATCTGTCCAGGATGGAACAGCAAGCTGGGACAGTACTTCGCAAATGAAGAAAATCTACAAATCTGGCTTCTAAGTGCTGCTTGCTGGACTGTGACCTAGTCGCTAACACAAATAACCAGTTGTTATTTGTAGAGCCTGGGGATTAAATGCCATGGCTTTGGAGTCAGGAAACTCTGGGAGCTAATCTCC